TGGGAGTTATGATGCTGGGTGTCCTTTCCTAAGGAACAGGAGTTCACAAAGATGAAACAAACATCATTCTAAAGTTGGCTTCAAACACACGACTTGAAGTCCGTACTGCCTGTCCCCCTTCTGCCCCACAGGGCAATACAAGCCATTCTAACTCAGCAAGCAAAGCACAGTATGTAAGAATTCTTTAATAATAATAAAAGCACATGATAAAGAGCTCTAATTTGCCATTCCTTCAGGTATTTATGCTGCTTCAGTCATTCAGTCCATCCAAAGGAAGGCCATGACATATTCTATAGAGGGAAGGTAATTGTTTCCAATCATAGATAATTTAGAGTTTTTTCAAATCAAGTCATAACCAGCTTATCAGGCATCTTGACCTTGGAATCAACTGGAACATACTGCCCTGATTTAAACACTCAGCAATTTCTCTAGTGACAGCAACAGGCTTCACCTTGCACATCTGCCCTACTGACATCTTCCCCAACTCTTGCTTTCATTCCAGATCCAAACTCCAGCACACTCTGTGGCCCACCTGTTCCTGTTCCGAGCCTTAACAGGCAGTGACTGGTTTGGATTAACCTGAAGCAGAGCAGAGGCAGCCTCTCCCAGCAGCTCCCTGCTAGCCACAGTTCCCCAACAGACATGGCTGCTGGAGCTCTGCTGCAGCTTTATATATGATTTTATATCATTCCTCCTAATATTTTACATTATTCTTCATGAAGCCTACCTAGCTGTACTTTGAGGAGATTATACTGGTCCTTATGCTGTTGGATCTGGGACACTTGCTGTGTGACAGTTGCCTGGAGCTGTTCATTCTGAGATGTTAAAGTGTTGATTCGTTGCTTTAGTTCTTCAAGCTCCTGGTCCTGTGAAAGGAAAAAAGAGCACTTAGAACTAATAACACTTCAGAAAACAATCCTGTCAGGAAGGTGAATAAAGACAAAAAAACCTTAACAGGACCTGCACTTTAGTCCACTTCAAGAATCTTTAAAGAAGTCACAGCAACTGCAGACATCCTATGTTCACTAAAGCTTCACTGATGGTTCAGAAGTGCCCCTGAGTTCCACATGTCCCCTAGACCCTCATCCCTAAACTCAACACCTGCTTTCAGTTAAAGTTCATTACCTTTGTTCCTCTACTTGCTGCAGCAACCACACAATTGAACTACCACTGGAAAAAAGGTTCTGAGAGTCCACCCATAGTAGGTATAACACTCAAACTAGACCAACAAACCACTTCTTCCTTCAGCCCCATCTCATCTCTTGCCTTTCCAAAGGTGAGAGCACAGAATTAAGAACTGCATCTCTGAGGGGATGCAAGTTCTCCAGTTCCTCATTTGAGAAGAAACGCTCCAACGCAAGAACAGATGCCCCTCAAGAAAACAAGAAAATTAACTTATCCAGTGTTCTAAACACTGGCATTTCAGTTAAACCTAGGCAGAAGTGGTTTTAGAAGTGTTTCTGCATTGCAAGATTCCTTGTCACTTGTTTTGGAACAGGGTATCAAACTGCACTGCAGTGCCTCTGGAAGACAAAACAAAGAGCTTGTAAAGGCACATGTACAGGGTAGTGTCCTCTTACCTGCTCCCTAATGACTTTTTTGTAGTGAGTCACAATGTTGTCATGCTGTTCCAGTGTCTTCTTGACCTCCTCCTCCTTTTTATCCTCCTCGCTGGACTTGTAAATAGCTTTACTTATAACACCTGTCAAAAACAGTCTTTGTCAATTAGAGCCCAGTTCAATTTTTTTGGTCTTCAAAAGAGTCCCAAAACCTCACAGTCTGAGTTCATGGCTTGATAAACTCAACCTGCACATTAAAAAAAAGCAAAGGTTTAATAGCAAGTGGTGATTTCTTTATTGCAGGGTTTGCACACTTACTGCTTTACTTGGTTTCAGACAAGTAAATGGGTGTTTTGAGTCTGTCCTATCAGAAAAGTTGTGTTTTACTTGCACTATGTCTGCACTATAACTGCAGCCCAAGTGGTTGTACAATAAGTGCAAGACTCTGAACTACAGTGGCAAAAGGCAGATCAAACTGCTTGGGCAAACCCATATTTACAGTTGCTGCTTTAAGACTTTTTCCTTCTCTAGTCTGAGGTGTAAGTATTATATTAATAAACAGGACACCAGTTACATGTTAAGAACAATGACAACCTGTCTATTCTGTGAGGGACAGAAAAGACTAAAACAAGTGTCCATCATGTCCTAGAAAGCCAGGAAATTCAGCATTAAGTTTTCTTAATTAAACAGTTGGAAACAGCCAACATTTGGATTGTGTACTTCCACAAAAATCAAGCCTTTATGATCATCACATGTGCTCAGTACTTGAGTTTAAGCACAGGTAAACAGCTCCTGGCCAGTGTGCTAACTCCCAGAATCTATTAAGAATTTAAGAATCATTTCTTCTAAGAACATCAAGTAATCCAGTTCAGGTATTTTTACTAAACACTAAGTGCAAGCTCAGGTATATGATGACTTCCAGCTATTCCTGTCATGTCATCACACTCCTTTAAGACAGTTACATTCAGCACATTTTGTAGCCACCAGCTCATCATAAACTGGAGAAACGAGTGCAACATCTCACCTTCCAATTCCTTTACCAGCTTGGTGAATTCATGGTCAAACATCATGTGGTCTGGGCTAGAGAAACTAGGCTGGGGCTTCTGAGCAGCTCTGGAGTAAAGTTCATGTTTGCTAATGAAGCCAAGCTTCTCAATGAAGTTCTCCCTGCCAATCCTCTTCTCAATCAGCTGCTTCAGCTTCTCTCTAAAAGCAAGAGAGAAATCAATCCCAGTGCAACAACTGAGAAGTGAACCCCTCCTTCCCTCATGGCAGGTTTTGCAGTTGCAACTCTTACCTGTCTCAACCCCACTGCCCTGTCCCAGTTAAAAGCCTCTTAAACCATCACCTGCCACTCACAGAACCTTTCCCTACGGTCCTTTTATTCCTACATCATACTTACTTCCTATAATTCTCCAGGGAATTGTCATTGTAGTAGATGGAAATGCCAAGCAAAAGTGCACACAGGCCTTGGACGAGCTGCTCCTCTTCTCCCAGGTTCTCAGCTATCTGCCCTGTGAGCTGGAGCTCTTGTTAAGGATATTGGACAGATTTCGGCATCACAGCACATGCAATGAGTTTCTCCCTGTATACACTCCCATTTATTTTCACATGTAAAACCAAGCTTGATTAAGAATTAGACAAAAGAGCTGGTAAAACCCTTGCCAAGTTAACGCCTGTTTTGAAGGACTTGGGTAATCAGTGGTTTCCCTGGAAGTTCTCAGTAACTGTTTAACTCAACACTAAAGACTTGCAGTGTAGATAAGGTGACAGTTTAGCCTTACAGACTTCAGTATTTTTATCCTGAAAAGCAAGCACAGAATTTCTTTTTAAAGAGAAGTATGAACACTCTTCTTGCCACTTGAGTATGAGCTTAATTCACACTAAAATTATCACTGGGCTTGTTGCAGTAACACCCCACTTGGCTGGCCAGCTGTGGTGCTTTTCCACTGCACTGTGCTATGTGCATCCTACAGACAGGGCAGGGTATGCAGAGCACTGGCAACAAAAGGCTCATTTTGTCTCTTGGCCCACTGCATTTTCTTTCACGTCATGCAGAATCCCTGTAAACTCATCTAGACAAACCTTTGACTTGAAAATGAAGAATCCAGGTAATGTCTAGGCAAGGGGTTCTATCCACAAGCAGGTCAAGGATACAAAAGGTACGTTGGCTGGGTTGTGAAGGAAGTGGGTGACAGCAATGGAGCAGTTGCTCAGCCAAGTGCAAAGCAACATCAGTAGTCCAACCCTGGTCTGCACTTTGCTGCCCTGCAAAGAATAAAACTCCCCATCATCACCTTTACACAGTGGATGACTACAAAAAAAAAAAAGCTGTACTGGATCAGAACTCACCTACTTCCACCTCACAATTGTAAAAGCAAGTCATGTCTTTAAAAACCACCCATTCTTTAGCTATTCTGGCAACAGCTTTAGTGCTTGGATCAAACAGAGATAAAACCATTCATATTGAACTGTCTTCAGAGCACACCAGCAAGCAACACATATGTGAAAAATGATTCAAGGCAAGTTAGCACCAATATAAAGTCATAACACATTAGTTCTGCATTTGTAATTAAAACAAGGGTGACACAAAGGAACATACACACAATGCCTGTAAAGAAGGAACAAGGTGTACATGTAGTCAGGGAAGGATTCCCTGGAAGAGATGCATCACCAAGACTTGCCCTGCTGACTAAAAACTGCCAAGTGTTCCTATTATTTTCTAGGTCAAAGAAAGATAATAATGGAGTGGTTTTCAGTTCAGACAGGAATGCTAACTGCAGTACTTTATTTCTGTCAACTTGAGAAAATTCAGTTTTGTCTCCAAATTGACTACCTCTGTCTCTGCTGCAGGGTTTTGGGCCCAGCTGTGCTAAAACAGGCATCCATCTCTTCCAACAGTCAATAGTCAGATGGAAGCAAAAGAGCTCCCTCACTTCCATTTCCAAATACTGGCTCTGATTGGCCCAGCACTATCAACCAGTCCCTACTGGGAATAACCCCTGGAACTGGCAGTGTTGCCCTACAGCATGTGGGCACACCTCAAGCTTCTTGAGAACACTGGCACACACCCTTAACTCAGAAACATGGAATTACTTTTGTTTACATGGAATTACTATGTGCAGCATTTAGCACACACAATTTATGCTGGAAGCAGCTGCAAGCCACATTTATTCTCATGCACTGCTTCCTGTTCTGAGGTCAAATTGATGTGCTCTGCCTAAGGATTTTCACACAGTGCCAAACACCCTCTATAAACAACAGCTATTTTCTAGGCACACTGTGGTAACACCCACTCAGAGATGACAGAGCTCCATGGCTGCTGTTCTACAGTTCAGGCTTGGGAACAACACAACCCCAACCCCTCAGGACAGCTGTGATCAACAGAGTAAATGAAACTATTCTACAGCAGCAATAATTTTTTTGTGCTTCAATTAACAGCCTGGAAGTCAAACAACTCTTCAGGGGTCATTTGCTCAGGATGAGAACCCCGCTACTCAGGACCAGTAGAGTCAAGGTTAAAGTATCTGCTGGTAAGTAGAACACACCCATGTCTGGAAGGCAGGTTAAACAGTTTTTCCTTCAGCAGCCAGGACACCAGCAGCATGTTCCCACTTCAGATGGCCCCAGCTGTTTGCTACAGGCCAGTCAGAAAACAGCGTTTCCAACAGTTTTAGTTCTCCTTACAAGAAAGCACATCTGTTACATGAACAGATGGTCCATGAGTCCACCCCACTGCAAAAGAAGCACCCGTGCTGCCCTGTATGCCACAGTTCTGTGGAGCACCCCCGGAGAATCCCCCGGAGACACAAGGAGTTTGTTATGCCAGGGAAAACCCAAACCCACTGCAACACAAAGCTGTAAGTGGAAACACAAAAAAAAGCAGTTAAAGAAAACCTCCCCAGCAAACCCCAGACAAGAGGGAAAGGCCTGCTTTTGGCAAGAAAATGCCCAAGCTGTGCCAAAAAATACATACCCGTCTGTCGATCTTATCACCCTGCAAGTTACACACACATTACTGGAGAACCTTCAAGTGGAACACAGTTCAGACACATCCCCCCCAGTTTGAGTCTCTTCTATTATTTAGGACTGAAGAGCCTAAAGCAGTTTTACTGACTCAAATTTACCATATGCAACAATGCCAGGAGGAAGATAAAAATGAGTACTGGCTCTTTTCAGCTACAGCGGCTGAAAGAAGTCACATGAAGGAATTCAAAATTCCAGCCATTATTTGCACTTGCAGGAAAAGTCTAATTACCACCAGAATAACTAGCTCCTTACTATTCCACATGCTTTTTGCCCCCAGATGGTTATAACAGAGGGGAATGTCACAAGGAGGTTTGGCCTAGAAGGGGAACTCACTGGGCATTTGCCAGGCCAGGTATTAAGATGCTGAACAAGTTCAAAAAAAGCTTTTAGCCTTTCATAGCAAAGCCAACAATCAATACATGAGAGCCTGCTCTTTTCATGATGTTTCTAGTTAGCAGGCCCAGGTTAAATACCAAACAGGCACTTCTTGAGCACAACAACATCATCACTGGGGATCCTGCCAGTTGGCCTTATCTCTTAAGCCAAGTTTTGGGGCTGGATAGTTCAGGGCATCTGAGAACAGGCAGCATCAAGAAGCTATGTGATGGAAAAGCGAGATTTGTTGCCGTTCTCCTCCCTGTGAAGCACAGAGTGCTTTAAGCAGTGCTTAAAAACCATCTGCAAAAGACAACCCTCCTCGTTATACCACCTGTACCCTCACAATGCCCCTGCCCAGGAGCTGCATTCCCCAGGACACCCAGAGCTGTATCCCAAGGGTGCAGGCAGAGCCGTACCTGGGAGAGGATGTTGGTGCACTGCTGCAGCAGGGACACGGGCGGGTTGCCAATGCTGGTTGCCAGCTGGACCCTCAGCAGCTGCTCTTTGAGAGTGGCATTCTCCTGCAGGGCATGGGCCAGGGCCACGGCAGCACACCAGTTGGACAGGGAATCCGTGGAGAAGAGGCCCCCGCAGAGCAGCTGACCCGCCGAGACAGAGTTACCTGTAGCTACCAGAGAGGCCAAGAGATTAAAACAAGCCACAAAACCAGTCGAGTATATTTAGGACAGCACAGACTTTAACTGCAGGAGGAAAACAAACAAACAAACGAGGTTTTAGAGCAATCCTAAGCCAAGCTGCCCTGCCTGGATCAGACACTGAACAGCAGGTACTGACTCCCCCCAGGACAGCAGCTGGTGCATTAGCACAGTGCCAGCTCAGGGCTCCCTGCAGCCATGTGGGCCTGCCCTACCGTCAATGGTGGATGGCAGGAGCGTGGACACAATCTCTCCTTGGCCTTTTTGGTTTTTGTAGAGGAAGCACTGGAAGCAGTAGAGAACAGCACAGCGTAGCACAAAGGGCTGCCTCTCGTTCACCATGGACATCAGCAGGACTACAATGGCAGGCCTGGAGGAAAAGGAAGGGAAAGCCATCAGAACAAAGCTGTGAATGCAGACAACCACAGCTACAATTTGAAGGGTGTTCTACACGTAAGGGAAGATATCTTGGCCTACCACTGCATCTATAGCCATTTTAAACAACAGCATTGAAACACCTGGTGTTACTCAAGTTTTTCAGTTACTTAAAACACAGAACAGCAGACGGATTATCCATCTTCCTCGCCTCCAAATGCTCTTGTAGACTGTCCTCTGGCTGACAGGGGCAGCTGATCCAACCTAGGAATTTCTCTGCTATTGCTCATTCAGTTTTCAGGTACCACCAAACATGAATTCTAGGCCTTGTCTCAGTACAAACACACCTGACACCTTCATGCTGTACCCAATACACCCCACATGAACTTCAAGTTGTTGCTCCAGAGCCTAATTCCAGCACTGATTTTAAACAGTCCTTTGGATTAGACTGTCATGGCCCATACCAATACACTACTACCAGAGTTCAACGCTTTTCTTCCCCTACCTTGGTGGATTAGAAGGTGCATTTACAGAGGCAAAGTAGTCTTGATTGGTCTGGCATCCTCGGATGACCTCTGATACAGTATTAATGGTCTAGGGAAAGGGCAGAGAGAAAAGTTAAAGAGAAATTGAAGTGTGAGCCATAATCTACCACCTAGATCGCTTCAAGTTGTTCAGTCTGACCCTGACAGCTCAGTATGTAAAGGCACACACCAAGCCTCGGCACAGGTCAATTCAGTAAAACCACTGCCCATGAAATCAAAGCATTTAGGAGCTGTGAAACACTGACCTAAGGTTAAGGGACAAAGAGCTCAGGGGGCTCTACCACACCCAGTCACCTCCAACTTAATTTTCTCTGCCAGATCAGTTTTGCTGTGCCAGCCAGTTAAATTGGACACTTTTTAAAAAAGTGAAAAGGTAAAACCTTTTATGAAACAGAAAACAGCAACAGAGTAACCAGCCCACACTCAATCCACTGCTGACAGGGCTTTCTAGAACCTAGAATTCCTCATCATTGGAAGCCTGCCAAAAAGAACACTTGAAGACTCTCACAAAAGAGAAACAATAAAAAAACCCACCCCCAAACCAGGAAAACAGAGATCAATTCAGCTGCTCTGGGATATGCTGAAATCCAGCAGAAAAAGTAAGCAAATCCAAATCCTTTCTGCTTGCAGGACACAATGTAAGTGACTCTCCCATTTGTGCTGCCCACAGAGGAAGCTGTTATGTCTGGCATCTGAAATACTTGCTTAGTAAATATTCAGTTTGTCTCTGTAGCAACTGGTTCTCCCTGTAGACTGCTGTTACCACCCCTCTGGTTGCCCCCACCCCTACATCCATTTGCCCCTCTTACCTCTGTCAGGATGTCGGCAGGAACCCCAGTTGCCATGAGGATTGTGCAGAGCTGCTGTAACAGCCCACAGTGGAACATGGCCTTCTGACAGCTGCTCGTGGCACCAGGAGGGTTGGTGGGAGACACCAGCACCCGCACAAGCTGGAAAAAAGGGAAACACTTCCATGTGAGGAGAGCCCAAGACATTCTGAAACGCAAAACCAAGCTCATTTGAGGTTGACCATGAAATGGAATTGCTCCTCAGAATGGAGACTAGAGAAAAACAGAAGGTTCATCTCATTGCTACCTATGGTTGCTTCATTTTGAGTTCCATACAGGGGGATTCTTTACACAGAATATCCCTGATTAGGTTTTCATCTTAACTCACTGCTGCAGCTCAAGTTACATGAAGCTGTGTGATATACCAGCCATTACAGGTCCACCTGTGGCAGTGTTGGTGCTGAAAGCAGCACAGCTCATGGGCATTGGCAGCTAGTTCTGAGCTAAAGGGAACACATGAGCCTCACAGTTGTGACATGACACTTCACCACAAGGGAGCTGACAAAGTGCTGGCATTGGTGCTTAGGAGTTAGGGGAAGGGTTTTACCTGCAGCATTAGGTGAAGATTAGTTACTTTCTGTGCAGACCACCCACAGTTGTCATCTCCCACCTCAAACCAAGGCTTCATACGCTGAATGTAGGAACCTTCTTTGAAGAAGTTTTGATTGGAATTATTATTCTTCAGCAAGTTTTGTAAGAGGAGGAGACAGTCTTCCACCACTATTCCTGATGAGAGGAAAAAAATAAAAATGAAAGTACAAGTGAAAAGCTGGAAGCAAACTAGTTTCCCCTTGTGCAGGCAGGACGTGTTGGGTAGAACAGAGCACACACTTCTGAGCTCTCCATTCTTAACACACATTACACTTGGATCAAGAACTGGGAACCTCACAAACTAAGGAAGTAGTCCAAGGACACTCCAAATTAAACACATTGATGTTGATCCAGCATATTTCCAAGGAAATCATAGTTGTTTTTCTTCCACAAGTCCAGGGCAAATTTCCAAAGCATATACAGCTCATTAGTCAAGTGGGTAGGAATGGGAAAGACCTAAAACAAAACCTCACCATCACTCTGTGTCCTGAAGTTCACCTACTTGAGTGTCAGACTACACTGTCTCTATGATATGCACTCAAATGAAGTTCCTCCTGAACTGCATTGTGGTTCCAAGGCAGCAGTTTCTTCCTGGGTTACACATTCCTTCTCTTCAATCACTGGCTACATCTTCAACTCATTTCAAAGCTACTTTCTAGTTCGTGTTATCCTCAGATAGAGGTTCCTCCTATCAGAGGAACAGATATGTAGGGGGGGAAGCAGAGAAGTTTTAGCACTTAGGAATTTACATACCAAGTCTCCGAAAATTATTAACTGCCTAAAAATAGCAGCTTTAAATCAAAGGTTTGCTTAATATTTCCATGCCAACATACCTGGAGTAACTGAGCTGGAAGAGAAGCATTAGCTGCTCCTGCAGCCTACAAAAAGGTCATCAACAGCAGCCTGTCATGTTACTGAAATAGACTGTGTAGTAAACTGCAACTGATGGTAAACTCATTGTGTGTTGCTAGTAAAACAAGAGCTCCAAAGTGCTGCACTATTTTTGCTCATATTTTTTTATCCTTTATCCCAACAGGTAAATCACTTGGCAAGGAGCTGACCAGAAAACTGAAGTTTTCAGAGCAGCTGAAGGAACTCAGCAAGCTGTTACCTCCAGCCACTCCAAGCATCCAAGGATCTCACAGGAGGAATGCAGATGCTTAATTCTGTAAGTGACAAATGCAGCACACACATCTGACACTGCCATTCCAAGCACATACATTCCCAGGCCTAAGCCAGGCAAGAACACAGTAACTCACTCACACGTGCTCAGAGAGGTTGGCTGATGTTTTAACTGTCACTTTTCAGAAGACACTGAAGCCCTGCTACTTGGTCCATCTGGTTTAGCTTGGTTTGTTACAACCAGTGTAAGTTTTGCTCCTTCTACCCACTGACCCAGGTCCGATTACCCACTGTAGGTAGGGGTAAACCTAATGTAAACATCCCCTAATAGCTGGTGCAGAAGCACAAGACCAAGTCTGAGACTTTACCTCCATCGCTGTTTCCTTCCTCTGTTATGATATCCAGAAGTCTCTCAAAGGCGTTTTCAAAGGCAACAATTTTCTGTATGGCTGCATTACTTTTGGTCAACTGCTGTAACAACAAGACTCCCTTGACAGGAGGGGGAGAGGAAAAATTCAGCTTAGTTTTTCCAGAACTCCATTGCTTTTCTCAAGTCACAGCTCTCAGAAGGATGCTGAATGAACAGCATAATCCTCAGCCAGGACCACAAGCCTGGACTTCATGCCCTGCAAGTCAGCACATCTCAAACCCCACCATGGACACCAGGCAGTGGCTCTCTCATGGACAACACCAAGGATGCCAAGTGGCCACACAGAAGAGAGGGGTAAGTTCCTTCTGTACTTACATCATTCCGTATAACCTCCCTAGAGTCTGCCAGTAAATCCATCAGTCTGGAAACACCTGCAAGAAACACACTTTTTTAAAAAGTAGCATTAAAAGGTGCAGCTTGTTTGTGCTGGGGGTCTTCAAGACCCCTTGCTCAAGACTCCTCTAAGCCCTCTGCCGTGTCTGCTGAGTTTCCAGCTCCAAGGTTATCAGCAGTGAATTCAACCACTCACCCATGGGGCTGACAAGAATGATCTGCTGCACTTGGGGGCCCTGCTGCTTTAAAAGAGATGTAAGTAGCTTCACTCCAGGCCAACGGACATGGAAATCAAATTCCTGCAGAGATGGAGAGGAGTACATTAAGGAATCCATCCCTCAGTATTTAACTCAGATACACTGACAGATGCTTAATACTGCTGAAAGCCTAACATGGGTTCCATGTGGGAAAAGCACAGGATCATAATGAAGTTGGATTACCAAGGGAAAAAAAAAAAAAAAAATAGGTATTTGTGTTGCTCTCTTCGAGCATAATACTTTTAGTTTAGGAACAAAATTTTTTAACAAGTGAAGAGGCAATTCTGAAAGATAAAACCATTGGAAAATGAGTTAAACATACCATGCTGCAGGAAAGCAGTCACCCTTTCCACTTGAATTGCATCTCAGACACTACTGTCTCACGATCATTTAATTATCTCAAAAATTATCCTTGCACAAGTCACAGCTGCTGCTGTTTGGGGAGCAATAATTTTTATTGTTTCTAATCAAGTATCTAAAACCCTTTCCCAAGTAACAGGATGAAAGGAAATGGCCTCAAGGTGCACCAGGGGAGGTTTAGATTATTAGGTATTAGGGAAAATTTCACCACTGGAAAGGTGGTGAAGCATTGAACAGCTGCCCAGGGCTGTGGTGGAGTCACCACCCCTGGAAGTGTTCAGAAACATGTGGATGTGGCACTCTGGGACACAGTTTAGCAGTGAACATGGTGGTGCTGGGTTAACAGTTGACTCCACGATCTTAGAGGTTTCTCCAACCTCAGAAATGCTGTGATTCTATTCCATGTCACCCTGCTTGAAAAGCTGCACTAATGGTGTTCATCCAGGTCAGTCCTGAGTCCCCTCCAACCCCACAGTCACTAGATGCCAGCACACCTCACACAGGCCTCACTGGGACAAAACCATGGCTCTCTCCAGCCCAGGTACAACACTGTTACTCACCTCTACAAGAGTCAACAGCAGAGTGACATTTTCTTGCTGTTTAATGAAAATCTCTGTGAACTGACTTCCCAAATCATCAACTTGTTTTGCCAAGTTTTCTTCTGTAATAGTAAAAAACAACGTATTACAACACAGTTGGAACAACTTCAGCAGCTGTGATTTTTATTCTTATTAAAATAAGGCCAGGGGTGACCAAAAGACTTTGAGTCACTGGTATAATGTTAATGGAATTGTTTTCAGGACAAACACCAAAACAAGCTTTTCACAAAACAAAACCCCTACATTATTGTAAGAGTAACTTTGAAGTCTCAGAGCAGGACACCCCCATGCAGCTCAACCAATGCAGGAGAGCAGCTCCCCACAAGGACCACTCACTGATGTGTGAGAGCGAAGTACACGTCACACCACTGCTGCAGGAACACAAAGCAGAGGCAGAAGTATCCCACAAAGTGACAAAAACATGCAGACAGCATCTCTGCACCACTGCTGTTTTTCTAGGCTGAGTGACAATTTACATAACTGCCCCACAAAGCAATGGCATGTAGGCACTACTGCTTGGCACAGTTAAGGGAATGTCAGCTGAAAAACTTCAGGAAGAGCAACTCTAATCCCAAGGGAAACAGATTTTTTTATAATATAAATTAACAGAACACAAACAGTAAAGCCAATGAATTTCTGACTAAATCTAAGAGTCTTTGGATTTTTTCTCCTACTTGAAGCGCAGGATTTACAGCCTTATCAAGGAGACATAAACCATTAACAACTGAGCAGGTATAAAAAGGGTCAAAGACCACACACCATTTCCAAGCTCTGCACTTGCTGGAGGGTATGGCAAAACAAATCTGGTGTCAAGAACATGAATTAAATTCAATAAACCTAATTCAAACTGTTGGCCATGGTGATTCACTGCAAGGTATCAGTAACATCTACTTGCTAAGGATTTCCAGTGCAGCAGAAGTCTTTTTTGTATGGCCTTCCAGACAGAATAGCTGATCATTTCCCATGTCATACAGCTGCATTTCCCCCTTCAGCAGGCTTAGGAGTACAGAGCTTACAAGAGGGACAGAGAAGCAGCAACACTCTCCTCTAAGTTTCTTGCTGCAAAAACGATGAAACATTACGAAGAAGTGATAGAAGAGAGGACAGACTGTGTGCAAAAATAACAGCAGCCTAGGCATGGAGCACCTAGCACAATAAATCCCATAGTGAGCTCTCTGAAGCTGAGGGTCTTGGCAAGTCTGGCACACTCCTGGTTTACATAAAGGAAAATAAAAACTCCACAGGAGTTCAGCTTCTGCACTTGCTACTGCAGAGTAAGAGGCAACTCAGTTGGGAATCAACCAGACATGGATTGCACACTGTAGTTTGCCGCAAGCCAAGGAGACAAAGCCCTAAACTCTAAACATTTTACTTTTAAAATTAAGTCAAAATATCTCATTTTGACTTTTCCATGAGCTGTGACTGAACATCTTGTCCTTTTCCCAAGCCCAGTTGCAAATAGCAGGTATGTCAAGTCTTGATCCCAACTGTTGTCCTTGCACAAGTTCCAGGTGGTAAGGCAAAACCTGAGCAGTACCCACAGCTTGCACAGCCTCTTTCAGCTTTGCTGTACTTTATTTACTCTAGTTCAGGATTCTTCTATGAAAGGGCCAAATCACCTTTTTTCTCTCTCAGCTCTTGCTTTTTTCTCTAAGTATTTCTTCTGCTACATTTAAGGAAAACAAGGAGCTGGACAAAAACAGGCAAAGGGAAACTGCATCTTTCACTGACATAGATACACCACAGATCTTGCTATCAGCCTTCTACCCATAACTGCTCTTTGAATCTAGACACTCACAAGGTCCTCAAATAAAAGAGGAACTTCCATCTGGTAAGATCAGCTCTTAGCAATTCACTAACAAGCAGCACAGCAAACTAGAATTTAATCCCAAAATAAACAGATGAAGTGCATTTTGATAAAATCAGTTTAAAAAAGGAGACCGTGGAAAGAATTAGTGGTGACTTGGAGTAGAAGTGAACACTATTTTAACATGCATTGCTTAAAAAAGACACTGTGAAGGATGCTCACGTGCAGCTCGTGCATTTGTGTCCAACTTCAGGGCTTCTTGCAAACAAGCCCTGTTCACAGATCTCAGCCCATGAAAATCCTACCAGTTCTGGAGCTGCACACTTTCATGACATCCTTATTGAGAAATTATCATACAATCTGTAGAGATCTGCTGGCATTCAACATGCCAAATCACAGGAGAAATCCAATTGGAAACACTTGAGCTCCAAGGAGTAAGTGTAGAGCAGAAGGCAAAGTGCTTCCCCTGAGCTCCAGTTGGGGTTTTTACAGTGTCCCTTTTAAGTGCCAGCAAGTGTTACTGGTGTGAGTAGCAACTAAGGCTAAAGTGCCATATTCATACAAGTAAAGGTTCTTTTACCTTCAGAGTCATCTGTCAGTGCAGATAAAATAAAAAGAAAGAAGAGACAGGTTTACAAGTTGAACAGCTTTCCACACCACACAACCCATGACAGCATAAGCTCAGGTTTCCCAAACAGCTATCCCAGCTTCCTACAGGAGCCCTGACTCCTTTGGGAAGTTCTTATGCAAGGGGCTGAACCAAACCACCCCTTACTCTTAAAGGAGTGCTGATCTCTCACACAACTCCAGTCTGACAATTCTTTGCTCATTTTAAGAGACTGCCAGTAACACTCTAGTCCAGTCCATAAGCAAAGCCACTACCACAAACGTGGATTCACCAGCACTGTAAGACTCTGACCTTGTTCAAAACATCTTTCATTAAGATCAGGGAACTTGATGAACAAGGTAAAGAAAGGCAAGTAAGCCAAGCAACAATCTGATAGTCGTTCAGAATAACATTCATAGGCCTTTGAGACCAGCTTTGATGGCCTAGCAATAAAGTGGCATGGATTTTACAGTCCAGCTGTACAGTGGCTGCTCGGACATCTTGGGAAGGACTGGCACAATCACTCTGTAAAGTGCCACAGCAGGGCTGAAAAACATCTTCATACTTACATGGTATCACTATCACAGCTACCTGAGATCTTACATCTCAACATCTCTGTCGAATCATCAGATTGTAGGGTCCCATTTGACAGTAACAGCCAAAATTATCCTTTCACAATAACAAACCATGACTTGATTTTTAACTTACAAGACTAGAAAAGAACAATTATCCCATTCCAACCTGACTGCTGTTCACAGAACATAGTTTTTAAAATTAATAAGCAAGAAATCAGTGTTATTTTAATGCAAGCTGCATACAAGATTTTTAGCATTGTCCTAACAGCTACACAGTAACAAAGCAAGTCTCAGCATTAGTAAATCACATTTGATGATGATTTGAAGAAGCCCCAAGGAAAGGAGCCCCACAGTTAATACAACTATTACTACTGAGTGCTTACCTTGCTCCTCCTCTTCTAGGTCATTCGATATTACATTGTAGAGAGTGTCCAAGGCATAGCCAATTATTTCAGAATCTGAACTGCAAATGAGAGAACCACTTTTCTTTAATGACTTATTTCCAGCTACTCTTACAAGATTGCTTTTCTGCCCAGGCAGTTCCCTTTGCAGCTTTAGGTTGCTCCCCCAGGCGAGCCTCCGCAAGTCTGGTGACACAAGATGACCACAGGAAGCTTCCCTGTAGGTGTGTCTTATTTCCTGAGTCATTCCCTCCAACCTGTTCCTCAAGTGTACCAGGAAAAAGCTCTGGGAAGGCTTCAGACCATTTCCCAGGAAGTCACCCAAGGAAGCTGCAGACAAGCTTCAGCACCATCCCAGGATGTCAGCCAGAACCCCAGCCAAAGCTTGGAAGAATGCAGGACCAGCTGTGGATTCTTCCAAACAGGCCAGCCTCTCCAGCTACACCCAGTTATTAAGGGGTTTTGAATTCCAAGCATCCCCATGAAGTTGCAGGGCAGCCTTGCTAACCCTAAAGCATTAGTTCACCTGCTCACACCCAGACCTGCCTCAGGACAGACCTGTTTCTTCTGCATTACCAAGACTGAAGCATCTGTAAACCTTGCACTACAAGCAAGACACAGCCAAGAGTCCAGGAGCAGAGTGTAGCCATTTTGCTGCTGCTTGCTTTGTTGCTCTTAAACCAGGAAACAATCAAAGCACAGCTGGTCAAAAACCAAAGGAAAATAAAAGCTAAGATCGCAGACAAAGGTACCTCTGGCTGCAAAGACACCTCACAGTACTGGCATAACTTAGCCAAATATCTGAAAAGCACATTGTCAAAGAAGATCTCATGCTGACTTTAAGTGCTTGCCTGCACTGTGTAAGGCATACCAAGGCACACCAAGTAAGGCTCCACACCAAAGACAGATTTGCATTTTAAGAGGCTGCTAGGCTGGCTCAGAGCAGAGGCCTGAAAAACCACCTCACCTTTTAATCCATGGAAATGGTCTCACCTAGCAGGTATGATCACATCTCCAGCCTGCTCATGTTTTCCCTGTGTCATGTTAGTTCTTCAGTACACTACTACAAAGTCTGTGCTTTCCTTTTCATAGACTTGAAACAATTCCACATCTAATAACACACAAAAGTTCCCTGGAAACCTTAAAAGACCCACCAAGCTGTGGCCTTGCTTTTCCTTTCCATTGTTAAGGAAATCACAGCAGCTACAAAAGAATAAGCAAATTTCATGTACACGTTTCTGTAGTTGAAAGAGAACACATCACAAAACGAGGACAGCAGTGTCCCACCTCTGCTGTTCACTGCCTTGCTACCATCTGCTGTTCAGCACACAGCACATCTCATGGATTATTCTCTTCAGGTTGAAGCTGCCCAGCTTCTCCTCTGGAGTGACAATCAGTCAAGAAATAACACTTCTATTGTCAGGCATCCATAAAAGATGCAGCCCCTGTGCTGGACTGCTGCATTGCACAGGGCACCTTCCCCATCCTGCCTCTACCATTTGTGACTTGACATGGCATTCAACCCAGAGGTCAGGACAGTGCTCCGAGTTCACAAACCACAGCAGAGCAGAACCGCATGGAAAGGAAGGCACCCATGTATGGGCTGTCCTACACATAGATAACTATGGTCTGTGCCTTAGAAAAAACAGCTCTCTTAGGTCCACACATTAGGCTCCAAGCTCTCTCAAATGTCACACTGAATTTCAAAAGTCTTCTAATATACATAGAGACAAAACAGTTAAAGATCAAGTTGGTTTCTCACCCCTATGCCTTCTCTCACACCAACTGTTCAGTGGTACTGGCCTGTTCTACAGTCAATGCCAAGTTTTTTTCAAAATAATCCCTGGTGGGATGTAGCAACATCTAGACAGCTCGTCAGTACAAGTCCTCTACCACATCCTACTTTATATTACAAAATAAACATATGGCATAAGAACTCTGGTGTGTGTAAGAGTCTGGAAAATGTAAAGCTGATTCAGGCTCCAGGATGGCTGATGCACAGAGCTGGAACACTAGTCCAAGAAGCCAGTTTGCTAGAGAACAAGTTTTAAACACTCAAGCAGGAGACAGAGCTTCAGGCAATCGAAAACTGTTTTAACGAGTAGAATGCTGTCTTCCATTTAGGAAATGGTGTATTGCTGTTCCAGGATAAAGGCTGTGACTAATTTGAAACAACAGCCCAAAATCCGAGGGCAGAAGTGAGAACAGGACACAAGAAACACCTTCACTTACCAAATTAAACCTTCCGTAATCTTAAACTTCACAGCAACACAGTCAGTGTGCACAGCCAGCACGAGTGACTCACATGAAAACAGTGACATGTGAGAAGACACTTTGAGTCAGCCATTGACTTTTCTTTTCTCATCCCATGCAGCTGCACTGCAAGCAAGTGAACAACAGGTGGAAAAGAGCATTTTCTCCTGCTGCAGAAAGCTTTAGGGTGCCTCAGGTGGACACTGGAGAGGTACCAAAGGTCACACACCGAAACAGCAACCACAGCACTGCCCTCTGGCAGCCAACCTGCCTCAGTTCAATATGCCTGTCACACTGGGCACAGGGGACAGCTGAGCCTGGGAGTCACTTAACCAGTTATTCAGATGAGCTGGCTCGGATTTGTGTTGAAATGATCCTAAACCCCTCTCACTTCTACCATCACTGACAGCAAACAGAGAACCCCAGCACCTTTAGCACCTGCACTGGTCAGCCACGGGGCCTACAAGGCTCTCTCAAGTAAGCCAGGGCACACAGCCTCGGGTGGCTGACATGCTGGCAACAGCAAATCAATTTACCAATATCTTGTGGCAGACAGCATTTCTGCAGCTGAAAACCCAAACAAACATGTATTTAATGGTTTTTCGAGCTGCAGCCTGAGTCACAGAAAACATCCACAGGGGTCCAGGATACACAAATTCCCAAGGATCAACTGGAGCCCAAAAAGCACAGAAAAGCCTCAAGTCCTTGCCCTGAGGGGTTCAGCTTGGCATCTCAGCTAGGAGAAGAGTAGAGCCCCACCTCCCTTCTCCAAGTTCAAATCTGCCCTCAGGAGCAGAGAAGCAGATGAAAGCAAGGCTCCTTAACCTAGTTTTTCTGGAGGGCTTCCCCATCGTACCAGGGACAGTTACTCCTATAACCTTCCCTTTCGCTGTTTGCACCAGGTCAGACATTCAAACTATCCAGGCAGATGAATAACATGGACTCACCTAGACAGCAGCCCCACACCTTCTTCCCAGCTGGCATAACTGGCTGGGCAAGCAAGGCCTCCACCAGGAGCCTTGGGTTGAGCACTGAAGAGTTTCATGTCCTACATCCATAAGAGGAGCAAGAGGCTTTCTTCCAGACACACAACTGCTGCTTTCCTAACTGTCCTTTGTCTTGACATCAAGAGACACACTCCTCCTTCCCATGTATGCACACCTAGGTATTCCGCCTAAGACCTTAAGGCTGTTTTATATCAGTTTATCAGCTTAATGGTTCAAACCCAGACAGAAAGACTGTCCCAATCCCAGCACTGCAAACAGGTTCCATGTTACAACCTGTGCCTACTATCAAGTACAGCAATGCAATCAGCTGCAGAGATAGGTAACATATTTCAAACACTGGACTCAACAAATACTACATTCTGGTCCCCACAGAGCATTCAGACTCATGTCATCTGTCACAGCAGCAGCCCTGGCATCCTGCTCTCCTGTTCACCTGAATCCTTCAGGGTCAGTGCCTGCATTACTACCCAAGGCAGAATTATTCTACCAATTCATTTTCCAACACAGCAGCAAAAGCACACACCTGATGACTTCATTCAGTTCCTGTTAATTGTGTCTACTTCACCTTTTGCCCAATAACAGGCTGATTTGGGTTATTTCAAACCCAATATTAATTAAATACATGGTCATTTTGGACTTGCCTTCCCACAGCCGTGAAAAGTAACCGCTGAGAAGCATGAAGGCACCTTGGTACTACCTTCACTCTTGAGGTGGTGTTTCTGTCCCTCATCCAAGACCCTGGAATTCTGTCCTTATCCCCTCTGAATATACTCTGATAAACCTGATCATCACAAAAAGCCACTGTGACAGGAATTAGTAGAAACACAGCTCCCTCTATGTGTTGTCAGTCCAGAGCACTGATTCCATACTTGTTCTTTCAGCGGAAGGGGGTCCCGTTCCCAGCCAGAGGAGGCTGCAGCACTCACCGGTCTGTCTGGAGAACGTGGATGAGGTGTTCCATGGCCTGTATGCCGACCTCCAACCGGTATTTCTGTTCGGAGAAAACCAGATTTGTCAGCGGTCGAAGCCCGAACACCAAACAAAGCTTCTTTAGTAGTACACGGCAAAGGTACTTCAAATCCATGCGGCTCCTCGGAAGTTGGCACTTACCTTGGATAACGACTTGAGAGCACGAACGGCGTCCCTCCGGTCATCCAGCAACGTGGACGAAGCCACCCGGTCACAGAGCTTCTGGATCTGGAAAGGTACGTAACACCCGGGCTAAGGCGGCCGGGCAGGACCGCGGGGAAAGCTCCCGACACCCTGTCCGGGCTCCGGCACGGCACGGGAGAGGTGCCCCCTTCCCACCCCGCGGCCCCGGGCACACCCCGGGCCTGTCGCGGGGCCAGCACCGGCACGGCCGGCGCGGCCCCCCGGCGCTGCCCGGCCCCCCGTGAGCCCGCTCACCGTGTCGGCGCCCGAGGGCTGCGGGCCGGCGCTGGGGCCGCCCATGACGCCCCGCAAGAAGTTCATGGCGGCTCGGCCCGGCCCGGCCCGGCCCCGCCGCTCCCGCTCCGCCGCCAACCCCCGCGGAAGCGCCGCCGCGCCTGCGCTGCCACGTGGCGCCGACGCGGCAAGGGCGGGACGGGGCGGGGCAGCGGGAACACCGCGGGAACACCGCGGGGCGGCCGCGCTCCTCAGCGCCGGGAACAGCGGGGAAACCGGCCCTACCGGCACCTCCGGCCCCACCGGCACCTCCGGCCCCAGCCAGCGGCAGCTGCGCTCCGGGAGAGATCCCGGCCCTCAGCGCACTTCCCGGCCTTGTTCGGGATCCGCTGCTTGGCCTGCATTTCTCATTAAGGAAAAAAAAAAACATCCCAAACGGGTGCGAAGAGCAGGGTCGGCTCGCAGAACGCTTTGTTGTGTACTGGCTCCCGGTGACAAACAGATGGGCAGACGCTGGGGGCATTAACCTGTCTGAAAGACAAACCCAGCACACCCCTGTAACCCAGTTCCCTGAGACTTCTCAGGGGTCTGTGCATCCACAGCAACCCCAAGACTTGGAATTCAGAAATTGATATGACTTAAGAGTAGCTATCACTTTTCTATTTTAAGTACAAGTAGAAAAACACTATTAGGTTTAACCCTAACTCACTCAGAGATAAACAGAAGCTTACCCAAATAACACTGACGGCTCAGTCCAAGGCAAGAGCACCAAGTAGTTGATTTTCTTTCAGACGCTGACTTTCCCCACATTGGACGCTACCACAGCACTTCCTGGATTCCTGCTGAAGAGCAGCAGCCAAGAACCATCACTCAAAACCCTTCAGGCACTGCATCCACAGACCAGATCCCAGTCTGATGCTGCTCTCCTGATGGTTACTGGTAGGGTTTGGCAGTGTTTGGTTTATTCTACATATCTAATTAAAGCAATTTTAATTCCAAATACAGTAAATGAGCACAGAAAGCTCCAATTAGGATGATCAGTTCCTAAAATTGGTTAATTTCATTTCAGGGAGAAAGCCCCTCTTACATCACAATTTAATCAGCAGCTTCAGGGATTTGGTTTTCCCCAATTAAAGAACAAAATCAATACTTTCATCTGAAATATGCAACTGAAAGAGAACATTTACTCTTTCTATAGTCTAAAATTAATAGCTTTCTCCTCTATCTGGAGACAAGCACCAAAAATCAATGTATTAGGTTTAAAAAGATGAAACACCACAGCAGTCATTACAAAATTTGTCAAGCACTCACCTTAATTTCTAACTGCACTTCTTGTAGCATCGGGAGATGAAGGTCTGAGCACCTGCAGCCCTTCAGGATCCACCCAGATGTCACAGCTGGCCAGTTTTGCTTTTCCATTGCCTCTGTTTTTCACCTATACAGACACCATCCAGCACATGGCCCCAGAGGGTTTTTATCTTGCTGGGCAACAAAGAAACCTTCAGCCAGGTCTGGTCACCAAGTAACCACGTGCTTTACAGCAACCACAGCTGGTCAGCAGTTGTGTAAGCCACAGCAGGACAACTCCAGCCTGCAGTCACCTCACACCAAAACTAGGCTGGGCATCCCTGGCTCTGCTTCTCCACTTCCCTTCCCAGCAGGGCACCTGGAGCCAGGTCACTCACAACTACCCCAGTCTGGAAATTCCCAAGTTGCTCTTACACTTCATTGTCCAGTAGCAGCAAAATATATGTTTTCTGTTCCTCAAAGAAAACTTGAGTTCCTCTCCTAAATCCAAGGGCTTCTGACACCACAGAGTTAAAAAAGGATCCCCCCACCTTCCCAACAGGGATGGTTGAAGGTACTCCCCTTTCTGGGTCAGTGCACACATCAGCACTCACCTGACACACTCAAGCCAGGCATAAGGAGATTCTGCTCCTTACCAAGAAACAAAGAAACAACCAAAGCAAGATTTTTCCACCAAAGAAAATTTATTTGTTTCTAAGTATTTCCATCCTTACACGTAGAGCCCTTACAGAAGTGAGTTATTTGCAAAAGACATGTTTGACACACTCCAGCTGCCCTCTTGGAGATAACACAATACAAGAGGCAGCTGTTGCCACGGCGGGAAAGAATTATTTAGTATTTCACCCGCAACCTTGGGTTATTTAATACCTGAGCATAACTCAAGAAAATTGCTCTTTCAGCGAGAAGCCCTGAACTTCAGCCTGAGCTACGGACAGTGGCACAGCTCTGCACGGACCCGCATGGTATCCCATCACTGACCGCACCCCTCGCTCTGCAGGCGGCTGGAGACCTCCGTCCAAGCGGAACGCAGCTCCGGTCGGGCAGCACCGAGCCGGGGAGGTGTCGGGAGCCAAATTCCCCAGGTAACGCACTGCCGGCGAACTCGTGCCGCGCCCGCCGGGCTCCACGGCGGACAGCGGTGCCTTGACCCCGTAGGAGGACTCGGACCCTCAGGCATACCTAGAACAGAAGGAGATCAGTTAAAGCAGGAGCAAAGAGCGGAACGCCCGTTACCGCCGCTGTTACCGCCGCTCCGGGGCCGCCATTGCCTCCGGCCGCCGAGAAATACGCGCGCGCGGCTGACGTCACCGCGCGGAGCCGGCGCGGATTGGCGGAAAGCGCCGGGATGCTCCGCCCCCTCCCGTCCCCTCGTGGCCCCGCCCGCACGCTTGCCCCGCGCAGGCGCGCGCGCTCACGCACGCACGGGACCGCGGCCGCGCGCCCTCCCCCGCCCGGCTGTGACATCGCCGCCGCCGCCGCCGTGCCCCGCCCGCCCCGCGCTACCCCCGCCCGGGACGCGCCGCCGCACCGACACCCTCGCCGCTCCCGGCACCGAGCAGCTCCCGGCGGCGTGCGGGGAAACGCCCCCTGGCCCCGCGCACCGAGACTTCTGTCCCTGAGGTGAGTGAGCGGCGCGGGGGATCGCGGGCAGGGTAGGCCCCGCCGCGGGCTGTGGGAGGTATGTGTGTATGTGGGGGGGGGGGGTGGTGATCGCTCAACGGTCGCCGCGCTGAGGGAGCGGCGGGAACGGCGCGCGCCGCGCGGAGGGAGCGGCGGGAACGAGGCTGAGCGAGAGGCGGGAACGGCGCGCGCCGCGCTGAGCGAGCGGCGGGCTCGGGGCTCGGGGCTGAGGGAGCAGCGCCCCCGAGCCCCCCTGTGCCCTGCGCCGCCCGACCCGCCCGCGGGATCGGCCCCGCTCGGGGCTGGGGGGTGGCGGCTTTTGTTCACCGTCACCTTGGCGGCTCTTCCGCCTCGCCCCGGGCGGCGCGGGGACGCCGGGGAAAGGCGCCCCCAAGCCCGCGGTGCTCGGTGCGGGTTGCGGCGCTGGGCCCTGCGGTCCCTCTCCCGGCTCGTCGCGGGGATCGATCGCCGTGCAGGGCCCTCCGCAGGTATGTGGGCTTCGGCACGGACGGGGCCGCTCCGTCGGCCTCGCTCGGACTGCGGAACCAGCCTTAGCTTCGCGTCCTCGGCTCGGGGGGCCCTCTGCTCTCCTGCAAGTTAGGGCTGCCATGGCAGCTCTGGCTCCGAGGGCTCCTCCAGCTCTGCAGACCTCACCCTTCTCCGCTTCCTCTTTCCCCACTCATAACCCGGGCTGCCCTGTCTTCACACAGTAATATGGCAGAAGTTGTTTGAGCACCTTTTATTCTGCAGAGCTGGATGCCTTGAGTAGATCTTCTCCGAGCTGCTCTCATTTGTCACCTGAGCTGAGCTCAGTGTGTTCTCAGGCTTTTACCCCCCTTCCCCTCAGAGGTCGCTGCAGTTCCAGTGTGGGTACCCAGGAGCATCTCCACAACAAAGCTTTTAAATCCCTTGGGTACCTGGGTGAACCTGGGTCTTGAGCTTGGTGCCGAGTACCACTGCATGAAAGAACTATCACGGGAGAGAACAACAGGATATGGGATTATTGTTTGATTTCAACCAGAAAGACTTAGTCATTCATACAGATTTTGTTATTGTAGCCTTCCATTCTGGTTTGGCAATTCCCAAGCCCTCTGTATATTCTAGATACTTCAAGTTCAGTGTGCAAATGTTCTGCTTTGGTACAGAAAGGAGTGTAAAGATACCTAAGGTAGTTTTGAGCTGTTGAGAAATAGGGTAAGTTATATCTATCCATACCCAGGTTTCTTGAGGTACTGTGTCTGTTACTGTGGCACTGCAGGTGGGTACAGGATTTGTCAACTTGGATTCTGAGCTGAGAAGTTGTGGTTGCTGACAAACTGGCGTTGCTTTAGCTCCTGGAGTTGATTTGTCATTAAGGAGGCATTCTGTGTCCGTTGTGACATCTTTTCTGTGAAAACTGGTTTAAACTGAAGAGAAAACCGAGTGAGCCAGCCATCCATCTGCTTGGCTGCTGGTGCCCGTGGGAATAACACGTTTTCCTTCATGGAACCGAGGTTTCAAATTAGGCATCAACTCTCACACTTAGGATTATTTCACGGCACTGGAAATGTGCTGAGGAAATGCAGTACCTTAAATGCACAGTGTTGGATTTGAGCCTTCCTTCTACTGTAGCAGTTGTGGTACTGGATATCGTTGCTGTTGAGAGCGTTTGACAAATGAAGAACTGCACTGCAACTCAAATAACATGCGAGAAGATGACTATGTCAAACTAATAGATGTATCTGATGAGATACTAGAAGAAAGGCACTGAACCTAGTGTTGGATGATGACACAGAGATGGAGTGGCTTCCCCAGAACGGGTCATTCTTGTTGCTGCAATTCGAGTGGGTATCAGCCCTTTTGGATGGCACAGCTGAACTGCCCAGAAGCTGGTCCCCTATGGTAGTCATGGGCCTAAAATACAGGGTGCTGTTAAACTCCTCCCAAAAATCCCAACCACAAACCAAACCCAAACCAACCTTGCAGGACAGCATGATTTGAAAGGGCTACACGCTGTGCCTTGGGGCTCAGCCAGCTCGGGTGGTAGCAGATTAGGTAAAGGAGATCATAAAGTAAAAGGGATTCTGGTAGATTACTCAGCTCTGCTGGGCCTTACTGCAGGTGGAGGATGATCTTACCTAGCAGGCCATGACAGAGGGAAGGAGGTTTCAGTACTGAAATGAGCTGTTTGGGACTTCTGATTGCTCTTTCTGGATTCTTTTCCTGGCAGCTGATGCTAACTTTACTTTTCCATGGGGTACCCGCCAGTCTCTGCAGGGCTGTATTCAGATGCCAGCTGGACAGTCAGCTGCCGGTTGGATTTTTACCTTTTTTCACACGATGTGTGGCAGTGGTGGGACCTCAGTCATGCTTATGGGTTGCAGGAGCAAACACACTGTAACGTGTTACTGGCTTGTCTGCAGTAGGAAACACGGTTTACAAGGGGTAACCTGGGTTCAAGAGAAACCTGTCCAAGATGGTTAAAGCTGCTCTCCCCTTCCCTTCTGTTTTCCCTGGGCTCCTGTGGTGTGGGAAGTAGCACGGTGGCTCTTGTGGCTTTGCTTAGTATGCTCATGGTGTGAGGAGCATCTTTCTGATTTGCAAGAACATTTTGCCCAATTTTATTTTCTGTTTAAGTGGTAAATTCAAATCCGATCAGCAGCTTGGACAGGAGCCACACTGTTGCAGATTTATGTAAAAGTATAGCTTTATGTCTGCATGTCTTTAGTTATGACAAATGCTGTGGATGAACTGTTCAGAGGGTAAAATTTGCTTGTCAATAAACCAAAGCACTCTACTTGCTTATAGTTTTTTATTAAAACAAGTGGTGGGGCCCACATCTCCCTCACAAAGCTTAGAGGTTTGTCTTGATGGATGTTACCTTCACCTTCAGGTGACACTTCCTTGAGCTGCTGTCACAACCCAGTTCAGCCTTTTTTTTTTTCCCCCAAGTAGAATATGGTGAAGTCCAGGCAGCATCACTGTTGTTGATCTGTCTTGAAACAGGATGGAATTGGTT